TACCAAGAGCAACCAAGCGTCTATCAGGATCTTCTAAAAACATCTCGCATGGTTCACCAATGTTGTTACCAGAAGGATCCTCTGACACACGCTTAAGAACATTACTCCCTTTTGTGTTATGAAATCCAGGAGATGTATGAACTGGTTCAGTAGGCGTCTCCTGTCGTGAGCTCATCATGCTCATCATCTCCTCCTTCATTTGCTCCTTCATTTGTAAAAGCTGGGCCTCGAATGAAGCTTCAAACTCTTCTTTAGTTTGCTGTCTCACAATGGATATCACTGTTTCAAGTTCTTCTCTATAATCATTACACCTCCTGAATTGGGGCATAAAGGTGCTCCAAAGTAGTCTCTTATGCTTATACCATGTCCAACACTCCTCACACGACCCGGATGCTCTGGTTTTCCTATTGCAACCGTCAAGATATCATTTTTGCCCTCTGAAATGAAACTTCCTTAGGCTTGTTGCTCCTTAAGAGCATCCTGTAACATAAAAATAACAATCTTAATTAATATTATATATAATTCTATAGAAATTTAAAGGGACAAGAAATAATAATATTACTTACAATCCTCTCAACAATCTCACACGCCGTCTCACTTATATAGCCTTTTTTGCCTCCTTTTTTGTATTGGTGTCCATATCTCCATTTCTCCTCTCGGGAGACGGGGGATAGTGGAGAAAGGAGTATGGAAGGATCGGACTTAGCTTTTTCTTCTCTCTTCTTCTGTTTCTCCACCATCAATATATTATCAGCCTTAGCATAACCCCCACGAGACAACGTGTGGGGGCATTGATTTTGTCGAGCAATTTCCTGCCCTCTAGCTCATTTTTCCTGTTAAAAAAATTAATTTTAAATTTTATAGTTGAAGTAAAACTAAACAAAACTTAAATTAATTAGAAATGAATAGACTAAAGCTTTTTCAGAAGTTCAAATCTTGACAAATTCTTGCCAAGTATCTTCATCAAGGAACTGGCATGTGTTGAGATGATTAGGAGGAGCCTGACCTTCTGGCACCTCAATATGGATATATCTCCTAGCAAGATCAGTCTTGAAATTTCTCCAGCGCGTTCCACAGTAGGAAATCAACCTGTGTCGGCAATCTTAATTAGAAGGAACATTGTACGTGAGCTACAATTAAAACACAAGATGATAATTAGTAATTTAATAATGGTATATAACTACATGCATAAATTAATTACATTCCTGAATGCTTTCCCATATCTAGTCCTTCACACGTTTTGGCACATCAAACCTGTCCTCAAATACAATAGGGGGCTTGGTACGAGATAGGAGGCCAAGAAAACTAACAAACTTGGCCTTGTGTTCCCCTATCGAATTCTATCTCCGATCAAATTGGATTGGTAACCTATGCCCAGCACTCCTACTTAATGTCAAATCTCTCAATCATGTGCCACATCTACCTCTCCTCACAGACTGGCTCTCACTAGGGGTACCCTGACTTGAGTCATCACCAAGTGGCTAGCCAATAATGGGCTGGCTCTGAGTGTCATATAGATTAAATTAATTAGAAAAATAAACAAATATAAGATAGTTAGAAAACATAATATAAATTTAATTGAACTTAGGAAACATACTTTAATTTAAAAACTAAATTCATATAGAGATATTCTCCTATATCCCTTCATGGTGATCATTTCTTATAGCATGTTCGTCATCCACTTCATCTACTACATTCAAAATTGGTAGCCCTGATGAGAAAGTAGGGGTTTTAGAAATATCAAAGCTTGATTCTTGATTATCATCATTATCAATCACCCTTTTTCCTTTCAATGCTATTGACCAATTTTATTTTCTGGATCTGTCACATAGAAAACTTGTTTAGCTTGGTCTGCCATGATAAATGGCTCATCCCCATAAGTTAGTTTCTTAAGATCAACCATTGTAAATCCTAACTTATCATCATAAATACTGTTGATGTCAACCCATTTGCATTTGAAAACAAGAATTCTAAATTTTGTATAATCAACCTCTCAAATCTCTTCAATAACCCCAAAATAAGTCCTTGCTGCTAGTTTAGGTTTCTTATCTTTTGAGCTAAAAAAGTGAACGGCTTCAGCCACTATCATAACCCCACTATTTTGTACTGTACTCTTTTCATCCAAGGACTTTGTGTAGAAAGAATACCCATTAATATCATACACACTCCAACATATAACATTAAAGTTAGGACCTCCTGCCAACCATTTAATTGTATCAGAAACGCTACTTTCATTCAAAACTTTTTGCTTGAACCAATCTATAAAAGTCTTATTATGCTCTTTCAATAACCTTTGTTCAGTCATTCTCATTCGATAATTTTCTGCCTTTAGAAGTTCTTTGTGAGAAGAAATGTATTCTTTAACTTTATCAATATTATTCAAGATATATAAATGTACTTCTTGTAATTCATCATGACTCATGCTCTTTACTGATACTCCACGTGTGCCTTGACCTAATTGCCTCTTCTCACAATGAGATTTAGGAAGTCCAATTGATTCTGTACTTGACAAGTAATTAGAACAAAATTCCATGGCTTCTTCGGTAACATATTTTTCAACTATCGATACTTCAGGTCGATATAGATTCTTGACATACCCTTTTAGTATTTTCATATATCTCTCAACTGGGCACATCCATTATAAATAAACAGGGCCACACAATTTTACCTCCCTTACTAGATGCACGATTAGGTGAACCATAATATTAAAAAAAGTAAGAAGAAAGTACATCTCAAGTTAGCACAAAATAATACAAGCTTCTTGTTCTAACTCTTCTAGTTTACAGGGATCTATAACTTTACTACATAAAGCATTGAAAAAGAAACAGAGTCTAGTTATTGTAAGTCTTAAATCTTCTTTTAATATACCTCGAATAGCCAAAGGTAATAGTTGTTGCATCAAGACATGACAATCATGAGACTTTAAGCCTTCCAATTTCAACTCTTTCACAGACATAAGCTTTCCAATATTTGAAGAATACCTCGAAGGAACTTTAATTCCATGTAAACACTCACAAAAATTTATTTTATCAGACTTGTGCAATGTATGAGAGGCTGAGGGACAATAAGTTCGCTTACCTTCTGGTCTCGAGTGTAAATCCTCTCGTATTCCCATTTCTTTCAAATCCAATCTTGCGTTCACACTGTCCTTGGTCTTTCCTAGTATGTTCAGAAGCATTCCAATAATACTATCACACACATTTTTCTTCATGTGCATAACATCAATACAGTGCCTCACTTCAAGATTGTGCCAATATGGAAGGTCAAAAAAGATAGACCTTTTTTTTCCATATGTTTTTTGCACCAATATTCTTTTTAGTCTTACCGAAGATAATATTGATATCTTTCACCCGTTCAAACACTTGATCCCTAGTCAAAGCATTCGGAGCATGATTGTGCTTTTAGTGACTATGAAAAACTTTTTTCAATTTATGATAAGGGTGATCTCGTCGAAGAAACCTCCGATGGTCAAGGTAGACTGTCTTCCTTCCATGTTGAAGTTGATGATAGTTTGTGCTTTCTTCACAAATTAGACAAGCTTTATGACCTTTCATACTATAGCCAGACAAATTCTCATATGCAGGAAAATCATTTATAGTACAAAAGATCATAGCATGTAACTTACAATTTTCCTTTTGATTTGCATCAAACACTTCCACACCTACCTCCCACAACATTTTTAAATCTTCAATTAAAGGTCTTAGGTAAATATCAATATCATTTTCAGGTTGTTTTGGTCTTGAAATCAACATGGATAGCATCATGTACTTCCATTTCATACATAGCCGAGGTGATAGGTTGTAAATCACCAAAAGAATAAGCCATGAACTATGTATACTATTGAGACTACCATAAGGATTCATTCCATCAGTAAAAAGTCCAGGCCTCAGGTTTCTTGGCTCATTACCAAATTCAGGAAATAATTGATCAATTTTCTTCCACTGAGGAGAATCGGCTGGATATCGAAGTTTTTCATTAGATATCCTCTTATTTGCATGCCACATTAAGTTCTTCGTATCATTAGTATTTGCAAATAAGTGCTTGAACCTTGGTATAATTGGAAGATACCATAAGACATTTACAGGAGCCCCCTTCTCTTTGTACCGTGGTGCCTCACATTTCAGACACTTCTCCTCCCCTTCAAGCTCTTTTCTGTACAACACACAATCATTAGGGCATGCATGTATTTTTTTATACTTCATATCTATTGGACATAAGATCTTCTTGGCATTATAATAATGATTTGATAGTATATTGCCTTTTGGCAACATTATTTGAAGTAACTCTAGCAACCAAGTGAAACTTTAGTCACTCTACCCAACTCTTGCCTTTAAGATAACCAGTTCTAACACCCCAGATAACAAACTAAAATCAGTGCACCCTAGGTATAGAGGCTTTTTTACGTCAGTGCACAAGTTATCATACACATGTGCTCGTTCAAAAGCTTCTTCCCCCATATTATGGATCATGTCCTCTAACCGATCTTTATTCATATCCATTTCATCATCTAGATTATCAATGAAGTCAATAATTTGGGGTGGGTAAGATAAATAAGCCGATAGAACAATATATCAAACACCATTCAATTTATATGGACCAAATATTATTACACTTGGTTACATTATTTCGTATCACTTTTGGTGCTCCAATTTGTTCTCGCACTCCACAACTATCATTGCAAAATATTGTAATGCACGGATAATCAAGCAATTATGTTATATTATTTAATATTTGGTCATTCAAGTTATTTATCATTTTTATTTCCCACAATAAATATTCACTTTTATGGGCACATTATCATAATTTTCCTTAACTTCAACGTGAATCTTATTGATATGGCTGTTCATTTTTTGTTTAAATTACCTAAAAATTGTTATTACGTCTATGCTAGAACGCTACATGTACATCCATAGATTTTTAATAAATCCTGATTTATGATTTTTCAGGGAATATGTTAATGGTTTTTCATTTTTTTTCCTTCCCTCTCTTCCCCTGCCACAATGGAATTACAGGAACTTAATGGCCATGAATTGAGGAATGAAGAATTCAACTCTTTGGCATCTATTGAAAGGATTGATCTTCAGAATCGTGGGATTGAAGGACAATTTCCAACTTTTCAATACCTTCGAGAATTAACCTTGGAAGAATGTGCAAGATTGAAATTTGTTTTCTCTCCTCAGCTCTGTCAAAGTCTTCCAATGTTAGTTAAGGCAGCCATATCTGATTGCGCGGAATTGGAGGCAATTTTTTCAGGCAATGAAGAGACTGAGAAGGGTCTATATACAACTGAAGCCTATCTGCCAAAATTAGAAAGTTTGAGAATCTCTAATTGCAACAAGCTGAAATTTATTTTGTCTTTCATGATTAATGCTGCTACCTTAATGCTTCCACAACTAAGAACTCTATCGATATTAAAGTCTTCTCAGCTAGAAGAAATTTTCAGGTGTTCTAATATTGAAGATCATGATATTGATAGTGAAATGAAGATTATGTTTCCAAACTTGAAAAATGTAGCACTTCTATGGCTTCCAAGACTTGTTAATATCTGCCAAGTGTTTAAGTTGCAGACAAGGGAATTTTGCAGAGTTGACGTTTATGATTGCCCAAAATTTATGCCAATTCTAGGGGCAACTATGATGTGGACTAAAGATGTAAGCAGTACTCTACACTCATGGTTCTCCCCATGCTTTCTTTTCCATACTGAACATCTTGTTTTAACATGATTCTAATTTGATAAATATACACAAAATAATTACCAAGACATCTTATATTCCTGTATTAAAATTTAAGCAGTCAACTAACCAAGTTAAACAATTGCATCTTTTATTCTCTTCACTTTTATCATTAATAGTCAATTAATGTAGTGAAACAGAAGCATTTGATAGAACAAAATAGGTATAGATGTTAAATGGATACAATATATGAATTCTCATCCAATGTGTTAAGATATTAGTTAAGTTGATCTCTTTTTCTTTTACTTATCTTTTCAAGGAACTTAGGATGCTTTCCTACCTCTTTTAACCTCTTTGTTATATATATAGGGACGACTTGTAAGGATGTATAAATTGAAATGCAGCCAATTAAATAATAATGAAGCCCTCAATCTTCCACTTTCAGTTCTAAATGTTGGAGAAGTTGATATTCAAAGTCCTAAAGTTGATCATGAGTTTGAAGTTATAGGTGATGATGACGAAGAAGAAACCAAGGACTTGAAATTGTTATTGGAACAAGAAATGCTTGGAGGTCTTGCTCCCACACAAGTTTTGAGCTTCCAATATCTGCATTCCTTAACAATGATTGGATGAAAAAAGTTGAAGTTTTTATTTTCAGTAAGCACCAGTCCATAACGCCTTCCCAAGTTAAGTTCCCTAACCTTATCTAATTGGGAGGAATTGGAGGTGATATTTGAACATAGTAGTAAAGATAAAGCCAACGTCAGTGAGAAAATTTTGCTTTCAAGCTTGAGGAACATACGGCTTGAAAATTTGCCTAATTTGGATAATCTTTGTCGAGGAATCCAGATTCAAGTTCAACTGAGTGACATCACCATAAGAAACTGCCCTAAATTTCTTGATTCAAGTTTGGGACTAGTTCTTCAACAGATGGGAACAGTATTGGTAAGAATGAATATTCTATATCATGTTAGTTAGAGTAGTTTTCAAATTGAGACAGAATAATGTGTCTATTAGAATCATATATATTATATTGCTAGATGCAGCCCTAGAGATAAATTAAATGGGGAACTTACAGAAGTTTCAAATAGATGCAAGGAGGACACAAAAAACAAAGACTGTATATACTTGATGAATCTACATAACTATATTTTCTTTCTTTTTTTAGTTTTAAATTTGATTGATGTGAATACTTTTTTCCTTTTCTAAATTGAAGTTGCTGTCTCCACATGCTTCTACAGAAAGATCAGATTTGCAAACTACAGCAGATGTAGAAGAACGATTATCTATGCATGATGAAAAAGGGATAATCTTGACGTCAAGAGTAGAATGTTTGAGGTTGTGGGATTTGGCCAACCTCGTGTGTGTATGGGAGGGTCCCAGTTTCATTAGTTTCCAAAATCTCTTTTGGCTAAGTGTGATTACATGCAAGAAATTAAAGTGTATCTTCCCCAGAACTATCATGAGAGGCCTACCATGTTTGAAGATTTTGGATATTGCAAATTGCAAAGAGTTGGAAGAAATAATAATGTCATCAGAAAGAGAGGAAGAGCCTCTCTTTCCAAATGCATCCTCTTCTTCCTTGATCTGCTTCCCACAACTTGAATGGCTTAGAGTTGATGGATGCGGAAAGTTGAAATGGCTCTTCCCCTCTACTAACATCTTCCACCATTGGTTGGTGTAGAAATAAAAGAGTGCTCTCAGCTACAGGGATTTTTTAATTCTGAAATTGAAATATTTCACGAGAAAGGGTTCTCCAACAATGTAAAGTTAAAATATTTTAATGTTGTGGATTGCCCCATGTTCTCCAAAGCCACGCTCGCTGCTTTTAGGATGAGCTTGGGTTGGTATAGACCTGTGTGAGATTGTGCCTGCGTCCAGTTCTTGTAATTATGTATTAAGGAGTTGCAATCTGTAATGTGATAATTGGCTTCCAAATATTTGTATAGTTCATTTTCACATAAATTAAGGCACGTTGCATGCATTGATTGACACTTGTGTCTATTTAGATTACTACTTGCTCCCCGAGAGACCACATCATCAAGTTGATTAAATGTGGACGTAAGTCTCTGCAAGCACATTCTGGGATTACATGAACTAATGACTTTTTTAATCTATTTTCAAAGAAATGGGAAAACTCTGTTTTGTGCTTGTTCAACTGTAAGCTGAAGTCATGTGATATAATGACTTGTTTTAAGAAATGATATATCTCAGAATGAATTCTTGTCATTTTTATTTAAATACTTTGGTCTGTTGTCTACATAAATGAGCACCCGTTTCTATTTATGCCATTACCATGTGCCGGCCCCAAATAGCAAATGTAGTTGAAGAAGAATTGGCAGATGATGAAGAATTCTAGGAACCTCCATATCCCCTAAAACTTGTCCCGTTTTTCGAGTACTTTTCTATTTCCAAATTATGCCTTTGAGGCATTTTAATTCATTTGTAACTAGTTCTCGGGATTAGTCATTTAATATTTATTTACTTAAGAGATGACAAAGGACGAAAAAATATATAAAAAGTAATATGGTCAAATGAAAATTAGATATCCATTTGTTCTCCCATAATTAATGTTCTAACATTTCATTTACGTTTCAAAAGCCTCCCTCAAATGAGCGGCCAAATCTATTTCCTATTACTTTTTCAAAGTACTTTTCAAAAAACATTTTGCAAAATTACAAGCCTTAAAGATCTAGCCTTAACAAATGAAGGCTCATGTCAATAGTTAGTTGTCTTAATGACAACGTTGCCTCTCTTCTCTTTTTACCCACCAAAAAATGCTACCTTCTCTTTTTAAAAGAGGTCATAAATTTGAATACAGCATTGATATATTAGTGTATGTATGTGAGTTGGTGTCTTTCTCTTTCTTATAGAAAAAGTTAGGTTAAAAGTAAAGTTAAAAAATTATATCAAAAGGCCCATAATTTCATATGACATGTATGGTCAATTTTGCACCAATTGAAAAAGAGATCAGTAAAAGAGAGAGACCTACTCTCCTTTTATTTGAAATAGATTACATAATCTAAATCAATTCTTATATTATTTATAGCCCATTCATCTGCATTAGGCATTTAGGCTAGACAAATTGTGCAACAGACAAACAAATAAAAACGAAAAAGAAAATTGGTCTTAGCCTAAAACGACCCAATCATAGCCGATCAACATATCCATGATTGGGCTCTTTTTGGTTATAGTCAGGTTTCAATCTTAGTGGCATTGCTCATAAAAAAGATATCGATCACCAAGCCACTAAGCCTAATAAATATACTCTCTCCACTTCTTATTATAAAACATATTTTAAAAGATATTGATAGTTTTTACTACAAGACATTTGATAGTTGATGGGTTATTAATTATATTTTTTTAATATTATTACTATTTAAATTCATTAACTATCATAGTGAATGTATTGTAAATTTAATTTTTTTCATTTAAATATAGATAAAATTGAAATTTTATTTTTTAAAATAAAGTTAATAACTTAATCCCTTATCTTTGATTCCAATGACTGGTGTCTTATTATTAGAATTGGAACGAGTATATTGTGAAAAAAATTATATATGTAATAAATTTAGATTTAAAATTATTTGATGGTTACAATATAAAGTGGACCCATTAAACTCTTAACTCAACTTGTTATTTTAAAAAAAAAATAAAAACTTGATATTTTTTAACTTTACTTGTTAATTTGTCAAGGTCAAGATCAGTTGAAAATTGAGAAATTAAAGATACAAGGATTTGATAATTAAGTTCTCTTTTGTAAATTGGAAATTAAATATTAATAAAATAATATGTTTACATAGGTTTCTTGTGAAATTTCAAATCTATCAATTTGCAATTCACCTTCGTAGATTAATAAGTAAAAAGATATTAAAATGACAATATTTTTGTATTAGCCTTATATATTGTTATGAGTTTGTATTTTCCTTTTGTTAATGTAATTTTGTATCAATGAATTGTTATTTGTGATTTTTAGAGTACAATATTTATAACGCTCATTATCACATAAATAATATGCATTGCATGCAAATAAACTCTAAACTACATGGAAGAAAATCTTTTAAAGTTGAGATTTCTCAGTGAAGTATTTTTTTTTAATTTTGAAAAATGGTTTTTAAAAACAAAAATAGGAACAAAATCAAATAAATCCTGATATTCTCAAACTTACTAGTGGTTATCAGTACTGGGCTACAAAATCAAATATGAATCTATATTGCGTTTGGCAAGGACAATTACATTGAGATATTATCAAAATGAAAAGATGTATTTTTTTAATATGTCCTAATAAATTAATTTTATGGGAGGTGACGTTTATAATTCTATATATAAAAAATGTCATGTATCTCTAATTTCTAAAAAAACACCTTTGGAAAAATTGATTACCTTTATCTTTGAGTGTACAAAAACTTAAGTTAAATTAATACTTTACAAAAATTATTGTTGTCTTAGCTTAAGTCGAGAGAGTGCATACCATATTCAAGGTTTTTCATTATATCTTAAAAAAAATCGTCATCAATCTAACGTGCACTCAAAGATTAAAATAGGCAAGGGCGAATATTAAATTGATTTTGAAAATGATACCCAAATTTTGATGCCACTTTTAAAAATGTATATCTTTGATTTACAATATAAGACATCAATAAGTGCTCCAATAGACCATTTTTTAAAAAATAAATAATGAATAAAGTAGGTGTATATATAGTTGGAAAAAATTATAAGAGCTATCCAATATCCTATACTTTAAAATAATTAAATAGGTGGTTTTAAAAAATGCCTTGTATTATAGAATGGAGGGAGAATAAAAGATAATTAATATTTCAGACAAATTAATGCAAAAATAAAAAATCTGAAATATCAAATAATTGTAGCTTTAGAAAAGTTAAAATAGTGAGATTCGTCCTGTTCCCAAACGTGAAAAAAATTAATAACAATTAACTGGAATAATGCATGATGATTTCTTTAACTTTTTGAATTTTGGCTTCATATTTTGGGGTCCATTAGAATTTGATATTTATCCAATTAATTAAATTCTTAAAATTTAAACAACAAAAAAGAGCACAATCAATCACTTCCAACTCAGATGATCATCACGGCTCAAGCTCATGAGAAGTTTGAGGCATTCTTTTTATTCTTTCTCATATTTATTCAATTAATTAAAGTCCAAGGCCTGGTTGGTTTCTGTGTTCAAAAATTAAAAAAAAATATTTGGATAAGTGTTTTGAATTTAATTGTATTAAAAAATGATCTCATTTTTATTTTTTTAAAAAAATATAAACATCTTAAAAATATTTTTATTTTATTTTTTATTTTCAAAATACATAATATTTTATTATTAAAAGGGAGAATCGCACTGCAGGCCTCAAAAGAGGCAAAAATTACACTATAGGCCTAATAGATTATATTATTGCACTACAAGTCCAAGGGTCTTTTTGCAATTTTTCTTGAGAGCGAAAGTATAATTTTGCCCTTATGTGATTTGAAAACTCAAATCATGAACATCATAATGTCAATCGATGCACAACATAATGTCCATTAATGCACAATAAAATGTTCATGCCTGTCTAATTGATCAGTAGGTTTAATAAAATGTATAAATGACACACACAATATATAATACAATGTCCACAGATGAACAATACAATGTTCATACATTCTCAAATAATTATCTATGCGTAGACACATGAACATTGTCTTGTGCATCCATGGATATCGTGTTGTGTATTCATGGATATCGTGCTATGCATGCAAATAAATATATTCAATATTGTATTGTGCATTCATAGATATCGTGTTGTGCATTCATAGATCTTGTGTTGTACATAATTTGGGTTTTCAAATTACATAAGGGTAAAATTGTACTTTTACTCCCAAGAAAATTTGGAACAAGGGCTCTTGAGCTTGCAATGTAATATCAAAATGTATTGGGTCTAAAGTGACATTTTTTATTGTTTTAGGGCCCATAGTGCGATTCTCCCTTATTAAGAATTATAGTTACCTTAATTAATGATTATCATAAACTAGTACTGTTAACTGTCAATGACTATCACAATTGGCTGATTTTTTAAATTTTAAAACTATTTTTAAATAATACAACTAAACATATTTTTTTGTTTTGTTTTGAAAAAGATATAATTTTAAAAGTTATATTGCAAAACTAATTTTTAAAAATAAAAAATAAAAACAGAAATAAAAAAGACCTTAAATTTGAAGAATCGTCGTATTGTATTGTTTTCTTGTATAGGCATTCAACGATAGCTTTTCTTTTCATTAGGAGTGATCTACTCCCACATGCGTTGGTATCACTTTTAAAAGATAATTAATTTTCCAGATAAATTAATGCAAAAATAAGAATTCTGAAATATCAAATACTTGAATGTAGAATCCCTTTAACTTTTTAAATTAGGGGTCCATAGGAATTGAAAACGGACAACATTCGCCTCGTTGGAATGCTTGATGATTCCTTTAACTTTTTCAATTTTGAATTCATATTTTTGGGGTCCATTAGAGTTGGAATTTTGTCGAATTACTTTTATTTAAATGTGTGAAAAGAACAATAGGTAACTGAAACATCATATATTTTCCCCTAATAATATCTAAGCCTGTTTGGATATCCAAAACAATCAATTATCGATTGAATCTAATGAAAATATGACATTTATCAGATAACATTTATGAATAAATAGTGCACTAGGTCCATCCAAAAATTGATGTTCTAGCTTTGAATGCTACCCATGTTATTCATTTTCTCATGATACTGTTTAAAATATATAATATGAAGCCTAAAATTTCTTTTTCTTTTTTATTTTTAAGTCAATGAGAAATATTTTTATTAACATTCGAAAACTAAAGATATTTTTTTAAGAAAATTATGAAATTCCATTTTAATTAATATGTTATTTGATTGATGATGAAGGATATATCCAACGAAGATTTGTATGCATGCATGTATTTCACATGCTTCAAGTAAAAATGAATGATAAGATTGCTTTTTCAC